GCGCTAATGATGCCATAAATTATGCGCAGTAAGGATGCGCAATGCAAATGTGAGGAATGACCTTAAGACAGATTTTTTTTTTTTTCAGTTTTCTTTTAAAGAGTAAAAATTGTAATATATATTAAGAATTTAGCTGCCTGGGACAGTTTGATCTTGAAGACTGAAAGGGAAATTAAAGATAAATTTGCTATCACTGTGCTTACTGTTTATATAATCAGGAAAACAACTCTGATACACATGTACAATGTATGTACGTAATAATTAATTCTTACTAGTATTTTGTCAATACCCTCACTCTTAGATGCCTGGTGATGATTACTCTGATCCATGGGATGCCAAAAAAGCTCATTCTCCTGGGGGAGACTATTCAGATCCTTGGGATGCGAAAAAAGCTCAACCACCCACTGATGATTATTGCGACCCATGGGACAAGAAACCAACACCTGCTGATGCAAGTAGAAAGACTTCAAAAGATGATTATATTGATCCATGGGATGCAAGGCAAGATGGTTCAACACAGGTTGAAATGATGCAAACTACAGAAAAATCCAAACAACAAAGTAGTGAGGACTCAGATGAGGAAAGCTATGATGAACCGTATGACCTTGGAAAGACTACAGTATTAGACGAGCAGGCAAAGCGATTTTCTTTGAAGGGCATGCGTCCATCATCTTTGGATGGGTCACCTGAACATGAAGAGAGGAGCATTAGGAAGAACTTAGTAGAGCTACTCCTACTGTAGTTGCTGCATACCACAGAAATTAGAAATAAGCACCAGTAGATGGCCCTGTACTTGCCTGTGATGGAATGCTACATGTAGTCCAATGCAGGTTACTCATGTATCCAAAACAAATGTGTATGATATGTACTCCTGGATGAAGAGAGACACTGTGATAGTAATGCCTCTTGCTCAAGAATATGACACATGACCTCGACTAGAGTTTAACATCCCGGGCTGTCCTGCACACTTACTAGCCATCTTACATGTAGGCCACCACACACTCCTACCATAACAGTTGCTAAGTCATAATTTGTTATGGCATTTTGAGACCATGTGGCCTCCAAAATGAGTTGATTGGCTCAAAGGTTTTCTTGTGTGTGGTAATTTGAACCAACAAAAAGGATATAAATTATTTTGTTTTCCTTGATCTAAAATTAAAAAGAAAAAATCTTTTTTGTCCCAAGACAACAGACTCCAAGCAAGGATATCAGACCTGCTGACGATTATGACTCACCATGGGAAAGCAAATCCTTCCTAGGAATGAAACAAACATCTCCTAACTTACCACAAGAAAAATCACAAGCTCCAGTCAGCGACACAAGACCAGCTGATGACTACGATAAGCCATGGGAATGGAACAAAAAGACACATTTGAATGGTCACACACAACCACTTAAACAGCGTGAGCCCCTCCAGTCACCTAAAGCTGATGAACGACCAGCTGATGATTATGACGCACCATGGGAGTGGTCCAAGTCTGGCCAAGCTGCATCTATGATGAAAGAAAAGGAGGCAGCTCCCCCACCCAAACCACCAAGAGTATTTGCAGAAGGTGAATCACCTGTTGACCCAAGTTTGCCCCTGGAACAGCAAGGGTAAGGTTCAAACCTTGTGATGATGTACATTGTACTCAGTTATAAATGTCATCTGTGTGCACCCTGCTCCCTAAGCAAGCTTTCTCCCCCCCCAGAAAATTCTCAAATCTAGAGTCTCAGCAATCCGTGCCTGTTTAGTGCAGACACCTTGTTTTTGAAAATATCCTAACCATTCCACACTTTTCCCAGCTTGATCCTCATGAGAATTCTGCACAATATAAAATGTGAATCAAAAAAGAAACCAGGGGGCATTTCACAGTCAGTTAGGATGTTACTGCATGGTTCGTACGGGTTATTGAAAACCTGGAAAGTCATAGAATTCAAGAATTTTATTTTCCAGGCCTGGAAAGTCATGGAATTTAAATGTTGGTCATGGAAAGTCATGGAAAATAATGGTTAAGTCTAGTATGTTTATTGCTGCACATGTCAAAACAAGAACAAAATAAAATAAAGGCAAGTTACAGAGAAATCAGCCTCCCACGCAGATGTTCTGAAGGTTATTTGAACTAAATGCATTTTGGCAAATGCCAGAGATTACAAACAAATGCAAATTTGACCCAAGACAAGGATAGTTTTGAGAATTTTCGAAAGTGACAGGCAAACTTAAGGTCATGGAAAAAAGGAAAGGGTCATGGAAAAGGTCATGGAAAGTCATGGAATTTGAAGAATTTAAAAGAGTACAAACTCTGTACTATTACATCTTCAGTAATAGCTTCAATTACTGATTGAACTTGTGTTGCATTAACAGACAGTTCTAAGTTTCGGGCTGCTTACAGAAGACAATGAACATATAAAACATGTACTAGTAATGTACTGTCTAATAGTAACAAGTCTTGATCTTTTAAATACATGTACAGTTGGTATCACGGGCCTATCAAGAGACTGGAAGCAGAGAAACTTTTACAGACTGCCGTGGACTGCAGCTTCTTGTTGCGAAACAGTGAGAGTAGTAAAAATGACTTCTCTCTGTCTGTAAGGTAAAAATGATTTTTCTTAAATTTATGTCACTATATGTAGGCTTTGTTTTTAATCATCCAAACATAATTGAATTTATATTGATATGACAAGATTACATTACAAAATTTGAATGCTTTATGCTTGGTGATAGTTATGTATATATACATGTACCTTGCATCAAATTTGTTTTTAAATTTTAATAATTTTCTTTTAATTTTTTTCCTCTTCTCAGAAATAACAACACTTTCATGCATTTGAAAATTGTGTCAAAGGGCAACAAATATATCTTGGGACAATTTAGCAAACCATTTGATACAGTACCAGAAATGATTCACTATTACTCTGTGAACAAACTCAACATCCGCGGAGCTGAGCACAAAAAACTTTTACACCCAGTGGTTCAAGCACCGGAGTATTTTACACTAGAGGCTCCCGGATATTCTACAGCGATGTGAGAATTAGAATTTGCCAGATTCCTGGTGGAATTCAAGAAGGTTTTGCCTGATTTCGTTGTCAATGCAACAATGGGTATTTCACTGTTGAATTGAACAGTAAAATGGAGAAGAGAAAATCCTGATTTGCCATCATGGTAGGAACTACAGTGACTGTAATTCAAGACTTCTGAGATAAAATAGTAGAATTATAAATAATTGTAATAAATTAAGTTTTAATTAATTCCGTAATTGAAACACCTTGTATGTTCAAGGGAATTGTATTTTTATCAGAACAGAACATCCTTATTATCAAACGTTGTGTCAAATGAGACATAAATTATAATAGTACAGGGAAATGTACATGTACCTTGTGTACAGTAGGAATCACAACCCTTATGAGTGTTTTTTGACATTTCCCAAGCTTTTTCTTTTTTTAGATCATCAGAGTTTTTCTTGGACAAGACTTGTAGTGTATGCTACAAGTCATGTACATGTAGGTGCACCGCTTTGGTTTCCATGTATGCTTTTTAATATCAATCTATTGGGAAAGTGGCGAAGTACTTTGTGGAATTACTGATGGTGATGTATTGGTTGTGCTTACAGTGAGTAAACTGTGTTACAGAATAAAAAATTCGAAAATTGTACTTGGTATATGAATACGTTTAGAAGAATACATGAAGGAAGCTCTCATTAGAAACTGTGGTACCCCAGCAGTACATGTAATTAGTATTGAGGAAATGAATATCGCTTGCCAATTCACTAATAAATATGATTTAAGGTAGGAGGTTGATAAAACATGATGTTGTATAGTAGGTTTGTAATTTACAGTTCTCTAAAGTCATTTTAATTTTGTAATTTACATTTACTTAGAAATGAAAGTGTTTCAACTTAGTTTAGTAGTGTATGTAGTTGTCACTCTGGCTTAAATACAGTAAAAACAAGGACTACACTGTACAATTTGAAGTGGATTTGGTAATTTATTACTCTTCCATAGAATCTAGAACCAATGTTTCGAGGTTTAATCTAGAATTTTTACGTGATAAAAAATCTGCAATCTAAATAGCTATTACATGTACATGAATCCAGTACTTAGGAACCAGAATCTGGACTGCTAAAATCTGGCATGAAAGACTCCTCATTCAGTTTACTATAAATCTGCCGTTACATGCACCAGGAATAAACATAATTTATATTTCAGACAATTCCAATTCCAATTTTTTTATTTGTGTCTTAGGTTTCTTATTTTACTTGGTTTTGTTCTAAAATTAAGTTTCTATGCAAGATTTTAGTCCAATTAAATAACAGGTCTATATAGTAAAACTGACAAACATAGACCAATAAAACTGACAAATATATTATGAAAGCTGTAAGAATAAAGCTTGAGTGAATCTTGCCCTGACGAGGAAGGTTTTGACTTATTATTAGGATTTTTTCGGGGATAAGTGGTACTTGAAATACATTGACAAAGTTAACAAAATCAGGACACATTTAAATCTTTCACTCACTGAGACAAACGTTTGGGACTGTTGACAAAATTGTTGACAAAACTGTTGACAAAACTGTTGACAAAACTTCGGAATGTAGTAAATATCTTGTCCAACCGGGCCTCCTCTTTCAGGCAGCTCCATGATACGGGCACTTGGACAACATTTAGTTCACTAGGTCCTAGAGAAACCAGAATTCGCACATGTATAAACCAATCAAGTCTACAAAATATCTCGGCTTATGTTATAATCTCTATAATGAGGAACCCCACCCTGCCCCTTTGTGTTTGTATTAAGTAAATTCGACTGTACAGAGATGGCTCGAATTTTTACTTTATTTTTTCAGATCAGAGCAGCACTTTTAGATGGTACTAGTCTTACGGACTTAGGTTAATTTAACTTTCAAGTCTAGATGAAACTCTCATACTTTCATGCCGTGTTATGCTGTACAAGGGGGTTCTTATTTGAAGTCGGTGGATAAAACACTTATGTGTGACCTTTCACATGAAAGCTATTGAGCAGTTATTGCATGCGGTGCTTTCTGTTTTTGTAACGCTCTTCAAATTGATATTTATTGTTTAATTTGTCGTTGGGAGTGGATGGTTCGAAAACTGAAAGAAAGCATGTGAACCATAAGGGAACTCAATCCAAACAAACTTCTCGTATTGCGTCTTGGTGGTTTTCCCTAACTTTTTTATTAAGTCTTAGTTTATTACATTATCGATATTGAATGGCAAACCTGATATAATTCGTATATTTCAAGGTATTATTAATTAAAGAACTATAATGCTTGAAATAGTAAGCACTGTAAACATTTCTGTTTCGATTAACCTAACGCAAGTGTAACATGAAGCTTCGTTCAAATTTACAGGCGCTAATTTGCATAGCGTACAGCCAGGCGTGATCAGGGATGAAAAAGGATGTGACTGTGATGAGGGAGGGGAGGGTGGAGGGGTAATTCCCGAGGGTATTATCCGACGGAGGCTATCATTCGTTCGGTGTTTTTTTTTTTTTACCGCGAAATCATATGCATCTTCAAATGAGCCGTGCTGCGTAATAGAGATCGGATACGAAAAAAAAAGTATCTAAGTTGACTTTGCAGCCCTTACTGTAGGTTAAAGTTCCCACGCTAGAACACAGTTATATTTCCTTCATTGTTTATCGCATTATGTTTTGGCAAAGTTGTACATGTGCGACCGCTCTCACACATAGCTATGGAGCTTCCGACTCTAAAGTGGGAATGAGTCGTCGTACATATAATATTGTCTTGACTGCAAATAATAACATCCCTTATTATATGGACTATGCATGTAGTCACGAACTGACTCTTGCATGTGTTACATGCTGCGAGGCATACTGCGAGATTGGTAATTATTTTTTTTGCTGTAATTAATTTATTTTTTATTTTATTGTAAACAAAAGGCTGGTCGGGCCTATAATTAATTATTTATGACCGGGCCTGTAACCGACAGAAGTCAATATAAATCTTTGCGGAACTGACAAATTAATAAAGTAACATAAAAAATTAACAAGAGGTAAAAACAAAAGTAACAACAGTTTCAACGTGGGTTCAACTGCCTGAAAACGTTCCTGACTGACTGTGAAAGATTGAATTGCATGTTAATGAGGATGTTTCTGTTTAATTGTGTGAAATGTGCATCTGACGAATTTTAAACAACTGACAGTGATGTTAATTTAATCTCGTAGATCTGAATTATTGATTTCATTTCCGAATGGCAGTCAAGGAGTACATGTGATAAGCTTCTCATCAAATTTTTATAGCTATATTGTGAGGACGAAATTTCTCTTGAATCCAGTACTTTATTCAAACCAAAATTTTGGTAGCAATTTTGGTTATTAACTGACATGCAAAAGTAGCTGGATAGATAACTTTTTCTGTTTCTTGAGTATTTTGGGGAATTTTTCTTGAGTGGCAAGAAAAACAAAAGCTAGACATCTAAATTATTTCGTGACAACGGGAAGATCCAAAAGTAAAAAGATTGAATTTGTGTTTTCATTTTCAAAATGTCGACGTACTTATCATTTAACGGTGGGAGGGAATAATCTTTCATCGATCGGAAATTAATACTTTGTATTCAGAAAGCCCCTCAATAAACTTTAATTTTTCAATTCACGATAACAGAAAAATTAAAACACAGACGTGGGCTGGCAACCGCTGAATGAAGATAAAAGCCACAATACTTCAGATACGAGCCAAAACTGCCCGCAAGAAGACAAAATATTGATTGACCAACCAAAGAAATAAGGTGTGTAGTTCGTGATGCTTTTTTTATAATTTTCGCATTTTTAGATTGTGATTTTATGCATTATTCTAAAATTAGTCATGTACAAAACATCATGGTTGATACCGGCACCTCTTTTTAAGCGATCGCAATTTTCTGAATCACTTTCGTGCTTAGGCTGGCCCAAGTGATCTTATACACATGTCAAGAGGAGAACTGCATGCAATAACATATCATTTTCATGTTTTTAATACAGAAATAAAACCGCCTAAACAGGAGCTGCGGTGTAAGGTAACACCCATATCATTCTCGACACAAATCAGGTTATTGGTTTTGGTAGAACAACCAAGTATGTTCTTGGACATCTATGCACAGTAAACTGTTTTTCTTCGTTTGATTCGATCAGAGAACGTCAGAGAAGTGCAACAGATATTACAGTAGGGATTAACTTTCAATTTTTGATCCGATAAAAATCTTATTTTAGTTACACTTCGAAAGATTAGGCAAATACAGCTAGCCTTTATATCTGTTTTTGATTAAAAAAATAATTAACGGCAAGCTTAATGATTCTTCCAGGAAAGAGACACGAAGATGAACTAAAACAAGAGAAGAACACAATGTACATAATATTTGGCACTCAAAAACATTTTCCTTTGAGGACAAAATGTAAAATATATGCCTGAAAGTAAACAAAAAACAAAATACACGACTAACCTTTTTAGTACACCTGAAGAAAGTAATCAGTGTTTATCAGGCTGTTGTTATTCGGGTACATTGTCTTCTGTTGTTTTTCTCATTTTGTCGCCGTCAGGAAACGTTAGCTTTTAATTTACTCAGTTTCTTATTGTCGGTTACTTGAAGCCTTAATCGCGATTCTGGGAGCTTTAGATATTTCTGGATATTTTTTCACCTGCGAAAGTTGTCGCACGACGTCTGTGGAATTTTTATGGTGTCGATTGCATTTCCCACGCAATCAAATGCACGAGAATAGTAGAAGTGGATAATTTAGATGAGGATAAGTTTGAAAAATTAGTAGAGGAGACGACCAGAGGGTCTTAAAAGAATACATGAAATTGAAAAAGATTTAAAACGAAAGTAATGGGAATCGGGCAAAAGTTATCTAAAGGAACCATTCTGTGTGCTCACTCAACACAACTGGATGTTCGTCATGTTAATATTTCTTTGCAACAGTGTATAATAAAACAAATTTTAGCTGAAGTTGTTTCGTGATACCCGAAATCTATGATTTGTTATCAGTCAAATACAAAGATCTGTATTTATATAACTTACTGCCAAGTAAACCTTAAAAGTTTATTATATCTAAGCCACTATATGATCTGCAGTAGACCTGGCAACTCTGGTTAATTTTCATTTTCCTCTGTGCTTCTGTTATTCCAGGTTCTCTGAACAACCTTTTTTTGGTTTCGTTCAGCATGGCTCGCAGACATTAGTCACCGCTTCTCATATAAGACGAAATAAAAACATTGTGAATTCAGAGTTAAACTCACGCTCAATCCTGCTTGTCTCCGTATTGTACTACCATCGAAACTGGAT